GTCAAACTGACTGTCAAGTTTCATCCATTTATTTTACATTTTCAAAATGTAACTAAGTTTTTATATTTTAACAGGTGAAAATATTTAATAATGAAATGTTTTAAAAGAATCCCCTGCGGGGCTCCGTAAAAGAATGTGAAACTATACAAGTCAAAGTTTTTGTGAACAAAGCGCCATCTGTTGATCACACTCTGCAATTGCATTAAAGTGACGTATGTACTGTGAAAAGTGCATACCAGTGGCAATTCTAGGTGGCTGTATCTGTGAACAGTAAACAGATTTTTTTTTAAAGAAAAGAATTCAAAGTGCCAAAAAAAGACGTGTTATCACCCCGGGATCATGTGTTGTGCAGTGATAGTGCAGCAGAAAATGTTAGAGGTAAAATCGTGTGAATACAAGTACCAAATCAATTTTTACGACCATTCATCATACTCTCTTCATGAAATCCATTAGTCAGGCTAAATTTAAAAATGGCAACCATTTTCAAGATGGCCACCAACCGGTAAGAACATTTAAAGACAAATTCGACAAGACTGGGCTTTGTGAGTTTCTTCATGCTTAGTCTTGTAAAAGTTGAGTTTAGAAGTCTAAAAGTAATCAAAAGCTATATAAAGGTACTTTTGACTTTTTGTTATGTAGATGACCTTCCTGATGCAACCCTACCATGTATCCGGCTTTGGTATCACCACAAGGACGCCACCAGCTTGTGATATCCTGAAGATTCTTTTTTTGTCATTTCTTCACCTTCTTCACATGTTTTGCATGTAATAAGCGCATATTCTGGCCTGTGAGACTCATTTAGACACTCAGACACCCAATATCATTAAAATGAAGACACATGATACTCATTTTACATTTTCGCTTGTTTGTTCACTCTTTCCCAACATGCTTGCATTTAAACCGGGTCCCCTGTCTCTGCTAAGATACCCGTCTCTCTTTGTATGTGATGTTCCCATTAAGTCCCATCCCTGCCTGCATGAATTCTCAGCAGAGCTGAAGATTTGGCTCCCACATACCCACGGGCCAATAATAACCGACATAGGAAATTATCTGGGAGGCTAGTATAACGTCCTCAGCCTAGGGGTAATCTGGGCATAACAAGAAATGTGACCAGGAAGAGAGGATGCTCTGCCTATTCCTAAATAAAAACCAGTTAAACTAATCAATCAATCAATATTTATTTCTATAGCACATTTAAAAAGGACAGTGTCCATGCAAGTGCTTCATACAAGGTAGCAAAGCAGATTACAACAAAAGGCAACGATAACAGTTAAAAACAATTATAGTTACAGTGACAGTTAAAGTTACAGTTACATAGCACAAATGCAGACCAGGTGGAAGTCTGAACTAATTTGCTTCAAAGGCAAGATGGAACGGATGAGGTTTAAGCATGATTTGAATGATTGAATGGATTCTGACATGCGGACATTTATAGGAAGATTATTCCAGAGTTTAGGTGCGGCAATTGCAAAAGCTCGGTCCCCTCTAGTCTTTCGTCGGGGCCTTTGTTACACTAAGAGCAGTTGGTTAGAGGATCTGAGCGCTCTCTTAGGGCTATACATGTCAAGAAGGTCTGTTGGGTAACTGGGTGCCAAGTTATTTAAAATTTTAAAAGTATACAAAAGGATTTTGTATAGGCAACTGAGGACACTTGTTTGTCTAATTTGAGAGAGCTGTCAAGGACAACTTAAAGATTTCTAACAGTCTAAGAGAGATGGCTGGCATAGGACCTCAGTGTATCAGTTAAACCCTTTTTCAATACATGCTTCAATGCATCAGAAAGCTTCATTGGGCCATCGCTAGGTCTCATCTTAGAACCAGAAACACAACTTGACTTATATTCAATAACGCAATGCTTGGCTAAGATTTTCACACAGAAACACTAAAAGCAATGAGCAGAACCACAGGCTGTTTATTGGGTGGTGGAGCCCAGGACAGAGGGGCGAGGTGGCTGTCATCTGGTAGTTCACAGCTTGCTGTCCAACCAATTATCTAATCCTGGAACAGGAATGAATTCAACCCAACCATTCAGCAAGCAATTGACACTATCAAGACACACGAGGAGGGAAAAGAGAAAAACCCACAACCATCCTCTGGTTGGAGGAGGCAGACACATGAA